CGGTAGCCGAGCGGTCTAAGGCATGTACTGTCTTCGCTCGCTTGGAAACCGGGATCGTGGGTTCGAATCCCACTCAGGGTATGGATGTTTAGTTTGTGTGTGTGCGTTTTTCTGTGTTTGTATACAGGTAGGGGCCTTGCGACGAGCTGATCACCCGCCCAAGGAGTCCCACCGAACGTGTAAGATTTAGAAAAACCGAAGTGAACGGAGAAGTTCATGGAGGTAGGCCTAGGACCAGTGAGGCTGTAGTGCCAAGAAAAAAAAACTCACAGGAAACACTCCTCCTCTCCGTCACAAAGACCAACCAGTTAATGCTGTTTAGGGAAACAGTCGCCGTTTATTATGAGAACCATACGATACACACAGATACACTCTGTGGGCTGAGTGCAGAGTTTTAGTATATTCAGTCCATACCTCGCAGGAAACACTCCTCGTGTCCGTCACGAAGACCAACCGGTTAATGCTGTTTAGGGAAATAACCGCTGCTTATTGTGAGAAACATTCTGTGGGATAAATGCAGGATTTAATTTAAGTGGAGGCAGGATATGCTTACAGTTACTGATATGCTTTAAATCGCCTTTAAATTGAATCATTATTAACAGAATGGCGTTGATGTGTTTCAGTAATAATGAACATAAACTTTTCCTGCTTCTGTCAACACAGCGTGCCGGCATTTCATACCATCGTGCATAAATGTAATCTGTTGTATTTATATCGCTCGTCACTTGTTATTCATTAGTCACATGTTATATGCTCATAAATATGCATTACAGTATATTTTTCCGCCTCTGTAGAAATTAAAAGTGTTTTGTTCGGTTGAAGTATCACGTGATGAAACTCTACTCATTATAACGTCGTTTAACAATTTTGAGTGAATTCCGAAAACACTTGAATTATTAAATGAAATATTACGAACTTTAATTAGTCTTTCAGTTCACTTCGTGTAAATGTGTTCCTTTTTCATATCGGTACATTAACTAAACAGAAACTCTGAAAAGACCGTTTTGTTTTGTTATATTGCAGTGTATTTTTAGTTTCAGCTTTAGTTAAGAAAAATGAACACATTGTGGACGGTTTGGAGTAGTACGCTTTGAAACTTTAATAACAACCTTCCCGCAGGCGAACTGTATAGGCATACCAGCGAAACGTCTCAAGATTCCATTGCATTTTAATTAACCCTTTAAATGACAGACGTAACTGCCTTAACGTTAAAAATGTCTATATCTTGCCTACATTTTGTATCTCTGTGTGTCACGGTAGGTTTTCATAGTAAGCTGGTCTGTATAATGGAAAAGCAGCGTTTTCTGCTAGGTAGGAACTGAATTTCTATACACATCAGGCTTATTGACATCAGTTCTCAAGCCACTGTTTGGAACCATTTTAACGGAGCTGTTTGGTATGGCGGTAAATCTGTAGGCCCATATTTGGGACATGTCGAATCTCTGTTGGGGCATCACACATCATGAGAGTTTTCTTCAGTTATTCCAGGAAGCTGCTGGAATAATACCTCTGTTAAGCCACAGCACACTTCCTTCTAGATCCCTTCCAATTAATTAATAACCTATTATTATGCTATTTTTATATATAGATTCTAGCCACGTACAGCATGGTGAAGTAACCGCCAAGCAAAAAAACTAAAAATTGATTTCCTCTTCTTTGACCTTTCAAGTGACCGTTATCCAAGAGGCTTTCCCAACAGACTGTGGTCTCCTGAGTTATAATGCCGTGTATTTTTGTAGATGGTTATAAACGTCTCGTACAAACGTAGTAACTTCACCTTCAGGGTACAGTATGCCGGATTGAAATATTTTCTTTGAAAAGGGCTTAAATTTTCAAGAGGACGAGATGTTGAAAACACAGTGAAAGATATGAGGGACGTACGGCGGAGATTTTAAAAAATACTGTATCGTAACTAGTACTTCGTTTCCAACGTTTCGGAGAAACATTCTGTTTCCATCTTCGAGGTATAAGAGTTAATCTTTTCTGGAGACGGAAACAACAGGTTCCACCAAAACATTGATGACTTCCCAGAAGACAGTAATATTAAAAAATATAGAAAATTATCGGGGAAAAGATTCGTTAGCGGAAGAATGCATTAGATCTAGTGGACAGATCAAGTTGATAGTAGTTAACTTTTCTGGCAGTTTATCAAGGTACTGGATATGGGCTTCATGTAATGTTGTGTAAGCATCTTCCATTCAGTCTTTCAGTTAATTTAATTATTGCATCCACCAGCAGTCAGTGTCATTAGACTGCTAGACTGCTGGGAGTCTGATGGATCTTGATCTTATCGTGAGTGACGAGCAGCGAGCTGTGGAAAGCATGCCGAAAATTTCAGTACTTAGAAACGACGGAACGTTACAGAGTATCGGCAGAAAGTATCATACGTGGGTTACTTCAAAAATCATTTCAGGAATCCTTGCGAATAATGTGTATGGTAATTATCTCGACATGTACTTGTTGCAGCAATCTTATTGTAAAACGTCACATGGAAGCCAACTTTTTAATCTATTTAACGAAATGCTCACTTCATCATCCTATTTTCGATAGAATTCTGTCTTCATTTTCAGGAATGATCAGTTGGGTTTGAACTTTTTTATTTGGGGCTCTCACAATGGTGACCATAAAGAGTACTGTGTTCTAGTATGTGGCATCGTGTAGTCCTGTATAAGTCCGCCGACGTTTCGGTGGGACGCATTGTCTCCATCTTCAGGGTGGAAGAGCAAACTAAAAAGGAAACCAGCTCACCTTTCCTCCTCGTTTCTGGTTTCTTATATCGGCTCTGAACATGGGGTACATCCCTCCGAAACGTCGATGGATTTGTGGTGACCTGTATGACATCTTCCACAAGATAACGCTCTTCATATTCTCACTGCTGTATCAGGCTGGAATCCGGTACAGAGTTGAAGTAATTCAGGGTAGGGCGATAGGGGCATGCGGTAGCGTAGTTGCTTGAGGCACTGTGCTACAAGCAGAAGGCCGCGGGTTCAAGTCCCGATGAGGTCATTGGATTTTTTTCAGTTGACCTAATCCTTCCGGATTTGAATCTGTCATTTGAAGGAGAAAGCTCTAGATCGCATTAAGTGGAGGAATTGTTTTGAAAGAGACTGTGGACCTGTCGTCTTGACAGATTAATGATGATGATGATGATGATGATGATGATGATGATGATGATGAATCCTTCCGGCCGCACTATTGCCCTGGGGTCGACTCAGCCTCTAACAGAAATGAGTACCAGGAATTAATTAAATAATTTTCCTGGAGAATAAAGCGCGGCCGGCGCGTAAGGCTGACAACCTTACCGCCAACTTTGAGCCGATTGTCTGGATAATGTGGGACCCTCAACGTCTCACAGCTCTATGGGCCTTTACGGCCTGTTACAGGGATAGCTTAACTTTTTACTTTACAGGGTAGGGCGATCAATAATCAGGGTGCATAATAACGGTGATTTGAAGTGATGACGTTAAGGAAGCAAATAGTTCCATGTTATAAGGCAAAACGCCAGTATTAGGTTGATAATCAGAAGATAGAAGAAGAGAAGATTAGATCCAAAAACTTCTCACATGCAGTTCAGGCTAGGTTTCAGGGAGTTCAGTCTGTATTTATTCATCGTTTGAGGCTGCCAGTAGATCAGATTACAAACGTCAGTTGAGAGGATGGTTAAGGAATAATGAATTGGAAATGATGTAAGAAGAAGTGCTCGTCGCGTAGTTAGGTATGCTATCCCGGCATTTGTCTAGAAACGCCGAGTAAAACCATGAAAACGGTAATTATGTTATCGGGTGTTCGGACCGAGATTTGAATGCGGAATTGTCCGAATATGAAGCAGGAGTTCCACCCACCCAACTGCGACGTTCGGTGATAACTTTATTGAACGCACTGTAGCACGTAGTAATCTGATAAATGTAGTTACTCATCTGTGAGCTTTCCAAACAGATTTCTGTGGTTTTGCGAGCGACCTGGCGAACTGAATATTGTCCGTTTATATAGATCCTCCTGACGTTTGCGTGTGTCAATAGCTCGCAGACATCTGCAAGTGCGGTGACGGTTCGTAATTACACTCCCGCTGAGATATCAGCTCATGGGATTACCGGTATCAGTGGCGGACTTTTGAAAAAACTGCAAGGGTTCCCTGTCTCCTTCATTCAAATCGTAATCGATTTATCGATTAATGTATTATTCTCCTGGTCACAGAGTTAGACCATAAAATGGCGTGTTACGGGCCCGATTTGCATCCATCTAGACCTTCTGATAGTTTCTGTAACTCCCCATATACAGGGTGGTTTTACTTTCAACCCACTGAATAAGTTGGTATAGCGGTAACGTTCTATACTATTAGGTGGTTAGTGCTCTGTTAAAACCTCGGCTCGGATACTGACTGAGGTTATTTGTGGTTTATTTCAGTCCCTTCAGACAAATTCCGGGATGTACCTCGATTCGGCCACGACCGCTTCCTTCCAAATCTTTTCCAGTTCTTCAGTGAACCTGCAGTTTGACGCTGTGTAGTCTAGATACCGATTGCGCCTTAAAATAGCCCACAACATATAAAATTGGCAACTTCCAAGCCTCGAAGAATAATGCACCGGTTTAACACTAAGATATATTTACGCTGTATTGTCGCACTTCTTCAAACCCGTTGGATTGACTTACGTTTAGCTTAATTTTGGAGGTCCTTGCTCAGATCTAACCACCCGAAACTTCATAGAAAGAATCGGCGCTATAGAAGTGGTACAGTAAACGGGAGTCTAAATACAAGTAGATACTGTAGGGTTCTGACGATGATGTATAACACACAGAGATATTGGGTTTTCGGACTTTATCCATAGAATCCTGACGATGGACAAAGTCCGAGAACCCAGTATCTCTGTGTAGCCTAAATACAGATATAAACGTGTCATGCGCACGTGTCCTGTTTCACCCTTATAGCATGTTTCCTGCCGTGTTGTTGTGCGTGATGTTTCTGTGGTTATCTGACTTTCTTCTTTCGCTTGTTCTTGCAGTGGAAGTGATGTTCCTTGTGTGGGGAATTCGTCTGTGCATCGTAGTGCGCAAGGCCCCCTCCGAGTTTAACGAAAGTCGCTTCATCTCCATGGCTATTTACAACGAGTTCTTACTGTCGGTGTTCCTCAACGTTTCCATGTGAGTGTGATCTTGTTATTTTTGCTGCTTTTATACCGGACGTTTAAAAAAATATGTATATACACGCTTTATACTGGACTTATGTAGTATGGAATATACTTAATAGATGGCACTTCTGCATGAATAAATCACTTCACATTGTCACAGAACTGTTATCCAGGGGGCAGCAGTGTAACACGTGATGACACAAATTGGAGTACGTATGTTTGTTGCTCTAACTAGTTCTACTGGAAATATGCTTGCTCCGTGAAAAGAAAATGGTGACTTTATTTGCAGCTGAAGCCACATAATATCCGAAATTTATGAGGTCGCTTAAAAAATACTTTCTGAACAGAAGGAATATTGTGCTACTTTATTCGCACTAAAATCTGTAGCCATGTGACGCAAATCACTGTCTTCCCATAAACTGAACCATCGTACGTTTTTTAATTATTTAATATTTCTCTCTCCCATGGAATACACCGCTCTGGAGGTTTGGATGCAGATGGGAGTATAATATGGTGGCATATAGACCCGTTGCCAGGCAAAGACCTCGAATCAAACAACGAGACAATAGGCGTTACTATGCAGCGGCGCGGTAAACATGCCTCTACAACAATAGATTTACTATATCGTTTCTTTATATCCGTAAACACAACAATCATATAAATAACTCACTTCCACATTTGTGTCAGCTGAGTTTATATAACTTACTGTGCAGCTACGCAACATGTTTCTGCCGTCACGGAGCCGTCATCAGGCGATACAATATATTAAGTCTTCAAATATTGAATTGTGACTGTTATGGATCCATATTACAAATGACGTATATTATAAAATGATTTGTAGAATAATTTGTACCGTTTTATGCACAGACTAATTCTGCTCCTATATAAGGAGTTTGATTATGTCGACTCAGCCTCTAACAGAAATGAGTACCAGGAATTAATTAAATAATTTTCCTGGGGACTAAAGCGCTGCCGGCGCGTAAGGCTGACAACCTTACCGCCATCTGTGAGCCTATTGTTTAGATAATGTGGGAGCCTCAACGTCCCGCAACCCTATGGGCCTTCACGGCCTGTTACAGGGATAGCTTTACTTTTTACTTTTTTTAAGAGATGCGTGAGTTAGGGAATGCGAAGGAATTCAGGAAGAAATCTTACAGGAGGAAGCAGTGCCTACAGGATAACCTGACATGGAGTTTGTTCCGCTTTATAAGATTCGGGAGTGGCAATATATGCGGATAATTTGTCACTGGGAGTTCCTTTCGCGGTAATTAGCAGGTGATCTCTAGCAGAACGGACAACAGGCACAAACCGGCGTATCAATAATTTCGCCTAAATCGCAGCCAACCAGAGACTTGGCCTCAGTTTTCGTTATGGAATGCCGCCACTGTTGAAATAACAGGCACTGTCTCTTCCGTCTCACGGAACTGAATGCTAATTTATTTAACTTCATGTAAATTATTAACCCTTTCCAAGCTACCCAAGAGGCATCTCATTTGTACGCACTGTAACTTCCGGTCACATTTTATTTTGTGTTTGAGAACTTACAAAAGGGCACGTGTTCCGCCGTCTCTCAGATGTTGTCTCTTCAACAGTATAGATTATATGTCGCCATGGTAATATACTAACAGAAGAAAGTTAATTTGAACACACCCCAGTATGGCAAGGGTTAAAGTCTCGAGGAAACAGAATTATGGAACTGGATATAAAGGGAAGCATCAGTTGATTCCTAATCCTTTTAATTCTGAAATCCGTCGGAATAGTATATAGATACAGTTCGTACCTCATAGAAAACTTATTTCACCTCTATTACAAAGTCTAACCGGAAGTAATCGCGCTTTATTCTGAGAACAAGACGAAAAGTACAAGCGCATATTGAAGCATGTGGTACATACAGTTACCAATTTTCTTTAAAGGGTTAAGGAAAAGACTGTGATTCCTTGTCGAGGTTCGAATCAGCCATCTTTATAGTTCGAGTCTGTTACACTCCGCTTGATTTCTCCGTCTCGGAAATATAACATCATCACCCCAACCGGATATTTCATTTTATTTCTTTTATACATTATTTAACGACGGGTTTCGGTTTCGAGGCTATATAAGGTCGGGTGGTAGGATGGTAGATTAATGATTAATTGGAAAAGATTTGAAATGAAGCAGTCCTAGACTAATCGAGCTAGTGTCCCGTCATTTGCCTTAAGGGACCGAGGAAGCCACTAAATAACTCAGTCACCATAGCCGATATCTCAGCAGAGAATCGAACTGAACGTCTCGCGATTTTAAGTCTACAGCGTTACCTCTAGAACAACGTATTCGACTTTTATTATAATTGTAAATTAGATAAGTATGTAATTATGCAAGGTGACTGGGAAGGAATGGGGAAGGAAGCGGTCTTCGTGGTATTTCCAAGAATAATAAATCACTCTCATGAGTGACTGAGGAAATCTACGAGAGAGATCTGTCTTTGTAACCTTTCCTTGCATGATTTGAAGCGGATACCTTCGGAATGCGAGTGTGACCAGAATAATGTGCACCCTGTTGTTGCCTGGTTCTTGCTCTGTTGAATCTGTCACACGTGACCTGACTGTCTCACGAAGCCGATGACTGGGATTAACAGAATGCTGCTTGTCTCCAGCAATGTCATGCCACATGCAAATATGTCATCCGTAATCTTGATGTGCCCACGCAGTATTACTGTCGCCTGTCAGCCATTTGCTGTCCTGAAATTCATCGTTAAAAATACAGTTTTTTGTAAACACAAGATTCAGAATCTTGAAGGGAACGGTATCATTGCAGCTTAATGCTCCAGGATAGCACTCTGTCTCCTGACAGTAGAACACACAGTATAATCGGCTGCTTGATTGGTATTCAGCAGGAAGATACAGACAGCATAGAGGTTTCATCTGATTCAGTGCTTCGGGTTCGCATGATGTTGCACGGAAAAAGAACTCCGTGGCCTGTAGTCCGCAAGCGAACTATACCGACCGAGCGACCGCCGCTTGTCTGCGAAGTTACGCCAACTTTTGCGGATAGAAGGTGTCGTGTGGTCAGCGCAACGGATCCCCACGGCCGTTAATTTCGGTTTTCTAGACCGGAGCCGCTATTTCCTTGAAATAGCTCCCCCATTATCCTCAAGAGGCTGAGTGGACCCCGTTTTAGACCCGCTGTTAAGCGGCCTCCGTAGTCTAGGAGTAACGTTCCCACCTCATGACTCAAGGTACGCGGGTTCAAACCCGGCGGAGGTCGTGGAATTTTTAAGGGCAGAAAAATTTATGGAACAAGTCCTCCGGGAGGGACTTTAAGCCATGGGTCCCGTGTCGTAGATTTACGGCACGTAAAAGATCCTCATGTCTCTAGGAGACCTCTGAGCAAAATTAGGCAACAATTTCCCGCCCAAGTAGTTTCCAATGCCTCTGGTAGATGGGGGAAATATCAGGTATCGACGGC